AGCTCAGCGCGCATGTCTCGCCCCATGGCGGCAAATGCGCGCGGGGCTCTGGAACTTTGTGTTTATGCCGGTTGTTGTTCCCCGATCTGCTGCTCCCTCCCTCCCCTCTTCGGCTGTCCAATGACAGGGTCGTGAGGGATGGGGGCCCGAGGACGAGGTGCCTCTGCCAGTGCAAATTCAGCCTTAAATCACCTCCTATCATCAGCGCCCCACCCATTAGGATTAAGTCGGGCGTGCCCCCCTGCAGGGGACCCCAAAAATATTCAAAAACAGTCCACACATCGTTTCCGGACTATTTTTGCTATTTGTGGGATATTCCCCCTGTATAGGGACACGCCCGACTTGACATCAGGACCCCCTCTTCGAACCGCTGACCTGTGCTGCCCGCTCCCCTCGCCCCGTGCCCTGAGGAGAAGGAGGAGGAGGAGGAGCCCCCCCCCCCACGCGTCGCGCTCTGCCCGCGCCCCACCCCCCGCGCGCGGGGTCCGGCCGACAGGCCGAGGAGGGGCAGGAGCACCGCCGGACCGACCCTGAAGGATGGGGCAGCGACACGTCTCGGGGGGGAGGGGGGGGGGAGGCGGCACGACTCGGGGGGGGCACGTCTAAGGAACCCTAGATAAGGAACGAGGCCCCTTCTTCCCATCATTTAAACTTCGATTTCCCATGGGAAACCTAAGGAAACGCAGGGCAAACTGTAAAACATGTAAGGAACGCGGAGCCCCTCCCCAACGAAAAAGGGTTCCTTCTTCAGCGACCCGACTGTACGACGTGACTCTCTTCTCGGGCTTGGCGCAGGAGTGCACGCTGTCGCACGCGCGGCCTCTTTTTGTGGGGTCTCCGAGGCAGGCGGCTTCAGCACCAGGCGAACAAAAAGTGCGGCACCGTGTGACCACTGCGGCAGTCCGAAAGAAAACAAAGGAATTATATTTCTTCAGTCGCGGCTCTGAGGGGACAACAATGAAGGGGCCCAGGGCCACACACAAACGAATGCGCACGAATCCCAGGATCCCACGCGACTTCCTGACATGTTTTTCTCAGTCTTCGTCTTCCCCCCCACCACTTCCTGTGTTTTCCCACATATTTCCCTCGGAATCGACGATTATTGTGTCGGTGTGTTTCCCCCCTCCCGAAAAACAGACGACATGTACCGCTGCTCCTCGGACCTCTTCCAGGAAGAATAGCTCTGGCGAGGATCTCGAGGCGAATCTGACCACGGCGACGGGGTACGGGCAGCCGTGGCGTCGCCGTGACCTCCTCCTCCTCCTCCGCCGAGGGGGCTCCTGGAAGTAGATGACGACGAAGAAGACCAGCACCGTGGCAAAGAGGGAGGTGATGTTCGGGGCGTTCTGGCGGTAGAAGGCCTTCGCGGGCGAGGAGGAGGAGGAGGAGGAGGAGGAGGAGGAGGAGGAGGAGGAGGAGAGGAGGGAAGGAGGATTTAGGAGGAGGATTGAGGAGGAGGAGGAGGAGGAGGAGGAGGAGGGAGGAGGAGGAGGAGGAGGGAGGAGGGAGGAGGGAGGAGGAGGAGGAGGAGGAGGAGGAGGAGGAGGAGGAGGAGGAGGAGGAGGAGGGAGGAGGGAGGAGGGAGGAGGGAGGAGGGAGGGAGGAGGAGGGAACAGGAGGGAGGAGGGAGGGGGGAGGAGGGAGCAGGAGGAGGGAGGAGGAAGAGGAGGGAGGAATCGGAATCGGAATCGAGCTCTGGGGGCAGTTCAATCAGCTCGCCTGTGTAAGAAGCCTGGCCAAGACTCATCTAATCGACGTGTCAGGGTAGGAGGCCTGCCCACCCCCGAATATAGTATAAGCATGTTGGGGTGAAGCCGATGTTACCTCCCACCGGCTTCCGCTGGCCTTCCGCCGGCGGAGCTGCCCTCGTGTTACATCCGCCAACCTCCGCCGCCCTTCCGCCGCGTTCCACCGAGGAGAGAGAGAGAGAGAGAGAGAGAGAGACACACGCCACTGCAGCCCGGGGGCCGGTCCAAGGGTGGACGGCGCGATGGCGCCTCGGCGCCGGCAGGTGGAAAACTCACTTCTCGTCGTTCTGGAAAGCCTTTACAGCATCCGCCCATCTTTTCCGGGGACATTCCGGCCTTCTGGTACAATCGAACGGTTCCCAATTGCACGCCACTTGTGCCCAACATCGGCTTTCTGTGTCCATGCGTTTTGACCATGATACGGCCGCTTTGCGGTGCTCAACGAGCCAATCACGCATCCTTCGATCCTCGAGGGCGAGGCCCTCTCTGGAGTGCCTCACGTGTGTGCGGCATGCCGTGACCCGAGAGGCAAGGCCGGGCCACGACAAGGTTCGCGCTTGCACGGCAAGCTTGCTCCGCGAGCGCGCCGCCCCCTGTGGAGGCGACGGGCCCACAGCGCAAACCTGTCCGAGTCCGACCGAGTCATGCCCGGGCCGAAGACTACACCGACAGCACCCCACCTGCGGCGGGTTCGTGTCGTGACGACCCCAGCACTGGCTTCTGACGCTGCATGGATCGTTTCACCCTGAACGGTCGGCGGCTTTTCAATCGCCAGATCGTTCCATGCTGGGCCGATGCTGGGCCACTGGCGGCGCTCAACCCGAACGCCCGCGGCGGGGTCGCGGCGAGTCCACACGACGCAGACCTGCCGTATATAGCCCGGCGATGCTCGGATTTCGAGCGCCTTGCGCCGCCCATCCATGGCGCGTCCTCACGGAGACTGCGCGGTGTCACCGCCGTGGGCCGCGACGCACCGCCGCAGACAGGGCGCGGCAGGGTCGCGGCAATCCGGCAGGGCGGGCCCCAGGTGCGGGTGGTGCCGACGTGTCCTTGGCCGAATGTCAGACGTCCGAGAGTCGGCTTGGATTCTGGCCCCCGTGGGGTGAGGGTGAACGAGAGGGGGGGACCAGCTCAGGGGGGACATACCGACCTTGAACTTGCGAGGCGGGGATTTCTCCAGATCCACCGCCTGGGAACCGACGTCTCCTGGTGCCCCAGCGGGCGGTGGACATGGATACATTTCGGCCCCCGGGGGCCCCCCGAAGGTGTTCATATCCACCGCCTGCCGAGGCTCCGAAAACTGACCCTCCAGGCGGTGGTCATGTACAAATTCCCGCCTCGGAGAGCTGGCGTTGCATCGCCGATGGGTCGGCGACAGGCCCCCGATAGCGAAATCGAAAGTTCCCAGGCGGGGCGGGCCATCGGTCCCCCTATGAGCGAGGAAAGGGCGATCGGGGGTCGATGCATTCCCCCCCGAGCCTATCAGACCCGAGGATGAACTTACTTGCTGCGCCTTTGCGAAACATCCTCAATCGACCCTCTGGCCGAGCCCCACGAGGGGGAGGGGGGCCAGGTGGGGACGGAAGCGCGCGGTCTTTCCCCGACGGTAGCGGTTTGGGCCGTCCTCTCTCTCGCACTCCTGGAGGCCCATGGATCCTCCTGGAAGGCCCCCCTGTCAGAGTGGGGCCCCCCAAAGGCCCAAAAGAGGCCCCAAGAGGTCTCCAAACGACCCTCAAGAGGCCTCAAAACTGCCTCCAAGAGGCCCATGAAGAGGCCCCTCACGAGATCCCAACGAACATCCAATAGGCTTCATACCCATAGCCCAGGCACGGTGGCGGGATGGGCCGAAGGCCATCATATTTAATCACTTCGCTCATTCCGCTGGCCTGCTTGGCATCACTGTGGCTGCGTGGTGGTGTGCTCGTGCCCAGGGGAAACGGTAGGGCAGGCAGGAATGTCCTCGAGGAGATATTTGGAGATGTGGCTTCCATCCTGTCGAAGAGAGCCGATCGACTGCCCCAGAAGGCACCAAGATGGCTCAAGAGAGCTCCAGCAGAGTGTCGAGACGTACCTGTGTTGTGGGTCAGAGTCCTCATGGATGCTTCTTGGGGCCTCCTCGGAGGGCTCCCGGGAGCCTCTGAGGAACAGGTTTGAGGCTCGTGAGGGTCCTCTTGGGCGCTCATTGGGAACCTCTTGGGGCTTCCTGGGGTCCTGTTGGGGGTCTAAGCCATCCTGGGCCCGTCTTGGAGGCCTCTTGGGCCGCTCTCAAGGTCATCTTTGGCCATCTGGAGGCCCTTTTGGAAGCTTGTTGGGCTGTCTTGGAGCGACCGTGGGGCCTCTTGGGCCGTCCAGGGCGGTCGGCAGCTCGAAAAGGCTGTACTGCCAGAATCGTCCGAAAACCCACGCCAAATTAATGATGTTTGCGTTTTCGGGGCCTCTAGAATTCCTCTTGGAACCCTCCTGGAGCGTTTTGGGTGCTCTTGGCCCGTCTTGGGACCAACGTGGGCAATATTGGAACGCTCTTGGCCTGAGGTCGTGGGGCCTGCCACCCATTTTGCGCCTCATTGGGGCGCTCTGGTAGCCCCCTAGGCCGCGCCCAAGAATTCCTGCATCTCTGGCCTGACCCTGCCAGAAACACCTGCCAAGAACACCTGCCAAGAACCTGCCGGGACTTGCTGCCACCCTGCCAGGGTACTTTTCGTCGGGGCACCCTCAGGAGCCGCCACGCTCGCGCGAACTAGAAAACATTCTCAAATTCTTACCAGAAATGTTAGCTTTTTGGCACGCCTCTGGCCCGTTGGGCCGCGAACACGTATTTACAGATATGCATTCCTATGCAGATGCATACACATGTAAACACACGTGTATGTACGTAAGTACATACATACACATATATATATATATATGTATACAATGGAAAGCACGTGTGTGTGTGTGTCAGTACACACATGCGTGCGTTTGTACAGACATACAGACCTGCCGACGTACACACATACGGTCGAGGCTGAGGATCAGGCGGCCATTTCTGTGTCGCTGGCACCCTGCGAGTTGGCAGGCTCGGCCCGGGCCCTCCGACGACCGGCGCTCCACGCTGGCTGCCAGCAACTGACCTCAGGTCGGGCATGTCCCCCTACAGGCGGAGCTTGGGCGAAAAATGCAATACATATAGATATATATATATATATATATACATATATATATGTATATATATATACACACATATATATATATACATATACATAAGCACACTCCCAAAGGCCAAAGTACAGCCCAGAAAATCGCCCCCAGAGCATTTCGTCGACTCTTCTTGAATTATACTCCCCCTGCAGGGGCACAGGCCCGCCTCACCACTGGCGGGGCGAGGGCGACCGCCCCCTCCCCGTGCGCTCCGCGAGGCCTGGCCGGCGAGGCGCCCGCGAGCGGAGCCCGCGGGCGCCGCCCGCGAGCGGCGCCCTGCGGCGGGCGCCAACCGCAGGCCCTCGGAGCGCGGCCGGCGCCGCGCCGAAGACGGGCCGTTCAAACGAAGCGTAGGGTCGGGCCCGTCCCCCCACAGGGGGATCTCTGACGAAAAGTTAGAGATGCTCGAGAAAGGCCTCCCCGAATGCTCGGATATGCAGAAACAGAGTCCCCAGACGATGTTGGGACTGTTCTTGCCTATATATATATATATATATATATATATATATAGATCCCCTGTAGAGGGCGGACCATTCAAACTAAGGTTACTCCAGATTTCGTAACAAAGGGAAGGGGGGTCTCCTTTTGGGGGGGGGTCTCTTCCAGGGCTATCCTGGAGGGCCTCGGGGGTCTGGGGACGATGTTCGGGAGGGTTCCCCCACGGGGGAGGGCTGAAGTGGCTTGTCTTGGAGGGTCCAGGCCCCCTCCCTTGTATTACGAAATCTGGAGTAGGGTCGGGCCCGTCCCCCCACAGGGGACTCTCTGGCGACAAATTAGAGATACTCCAAAAAAATACTCCCCGAATGCTCGGAAATACAAAAAAATACGTGGTCCCCAGACGAGTTTGGGACTATTCTTGCACATTTCCCCTGTAGAGGACGGGGCCGACTTAAAACGAAGAGCGCGCCAAAAAGCTCCCAGGCGAGAGCGGTGGGCAGGAGGCCCGGCCCGCGACGCGCGGGGCCAGGCACCCCGCCGGCGCCAGAGCAGCATCGCAGCCTGCCGCTGACGCGTGATCGTGACGACGAGCCTGCGCTCCCCGTGGAGCCGATGCCCTCCGACACGACTTGCGCAGGAGGGCCACGGATCAGGGGGACGTAAGACCTGGGTACAGGGGACTCGGAAATCCCCGACGAGATCGTCAAAAAAGTGACGAGGCCGAGCCTGCAGTTTGACGAGGCGCGGTCGTCAAAAAACGATGGCGAACCCGAGTCCTGGCAAACCCAGGTCTTACGCTCCCCCGAACGGAGGGAGAGGAAGGGAGCGCGGAGGCGGGAAGTCGGGGGTGCGCCGCAGAGGGCGGGCAGTGGGGCTGGCGCACCGTGGCCCGAGGCGTGTGCGCGCTCGAAGGGGGGGGCGGGGGGCGGGGCAGCCACGGAGAGAGGAGAGGAGCGGGCCGTGGTCTCTGAAGGATGCCAGGGGCCACGGGCACGCTGCCCACGCCCCCCTGGTCCCGACCCCCCGTCCTGGAGCGCCCCCGAGGATAGAGAGGCGGCACCCACAGCACGCCGCACTCACACTACGCGAGCTCCTTGATCTCCTTCGGGACGGGGCACAGGCGGTACTTGTTGTCCGCGCCGAACGTGTACTTGCACGCGGCCTTGGCGGCGACGCGGCCGAAGACGACGCAGTCCAACAAGGAGTTCCCGCCCAGTCGGTTGTTGCCATGGATGCCGCCAGCCACCTCGCCCGCGGCATAGAGACCCGGGATGGCCTTGCCGGTCTTCGTGTCCAGCACCGCGGAGTCGACGTCCACCTCCAGGCCGCCCATGCAGTAGTGGATGACGGGGGTGATGATGGCGACGTAGAACGGCTGGGTCTTCACGGCGGATCCCGGAATGATGTTGTGATAGAACTTCTTGCCCGAGCCCGTCTTGCCGCTGGGCTCATCCCAAGACTTGCCAGACGGGTAGGCAGGGAAGGAGCCGCCGTCCGGGTCCTTCTCAGTCTTCTTCGCAGCCTGGTAGTGCAGTTCAGTGGTCTCCTCGAGCACAGACACAGGGATCCCCATGTCCTTGGCGAGGGCCTCGCCGTTCTCGTAGAACTTCATGACGCCGCGGCCAGTGTAATGCTTGCAGTGCCTCACGAGAGGCGAAAATGTCCGTATCCACACCCTCGCGATCCGGATTCCGAGCGCGATCGAGCGGATACACGGTCGCACGGATAGGTTCCGCGCAGGGCATCCTGGAAAAAACGCCCCGTATCTGGGTCGCAGCCCAGGGGCCCAGTTCACGAGACCACGCATACGAACATACTTTTCGCCCACGAGTGCCAGCTGATCTCGTCGGAGGCCGCCTTGTTCAGGCAGAGGCGGAACGGCGGCTTGTTCTTCCACATCTCGCCAGTGACGTAATCGCGGCGGCCCAGCTCGTTCGCGAAGCGCTTGCCGTTGGCGTCGAACACGAGCCCGCCCACGCCGCGCAGAGCCTCTGCAGCCAAGAACTTGATCTTTGCATCGGGATCGTCGGGCTTCACCAGTCCAGTCGGGTGCACCTGCACCCATTCCAGGTCGATGGTCCGTGCGCCGATCGCCTCGCCCATCTTGATACCGTCGCCGGTGCAGTGCTCGCCGTTGGTGGTAGGCAAGTGGAGGAGGTCGGGGCGGTACTGCGCCAGCAGCGAGTTCGTGGTGAAGTCGGCGCCGAAGCCGCCGCTGGCCAGGATCACGGGGCCGAACTCCTTGAAGTCCTCACCATTCTTGGAGTAGATCAAGCCCACTACGGAAAGCTTGCCCCCCGACGTGTTGGTCAACAGCTTATGGGCGCAAGCTTTGGTAATGATGCGGGCACGGTCTGTCTTCTCTGCAACCTTTTCAAGCATCTGAATCAAGGCGTAGGTGATGGTCATGCCGGGGAAGCGCTCAGCACCACGGTGAGTGCGCGGCGCCGAATGACCACCGAGGCGCGCCACGAGGGACAGGTCCAGGTCGAATTTGTCGACGAGCCAATCCACGTCAGCGCCACTGTTCCAGCAAAGGATCTTGGCGAGCTCTGGACGCTTGGCCCCACCCTTCAAGGTGTCGTTGGTGAAGAGGTCGCGGGAATCTTGGATGCCCTTCGCCTTCTGCGTCTTCGTCTCCGCACCATTGATGCCACTGGTTGCCTTTGTCGAATTGCCGCCGCAGAAAGAAGACTTGTCTACCAAAACGACCTTGCCCCCGCACTCGAGAACCGTGTTAGCTGCGGACACGCCTGCCAAACCTCCGCCGACGACGATAGCTTGGTTTGCGGGGAATACCATCGCCATGGCTCCAAATCGAGGTGGCAGCGACACGCACGACGCAGCCCCTTGGCTCAACTTGGTGTACAAGAACACTGTAGCCGAACTTGAGCCAACAAAATGCAACAGAGAACCGGACAACAGCAAACTGCGAAAAGACCCGTTTCGGACCGTGGACAAAGCGGTGGCCTCTCAAGTTAACAAGTGCATGTCCTGCCGATTATTGTCCTGAAGGATGGCCGCTGAACCCCGCTCGCTTTTGTCGGGGGTTGGAAAGGTGTTCGTGACCCCTGGTGCCCTCAGCTTCTCGCGTCATTTTGATCCCCTGGGGCCCTCTGGGCCTCGTGAGGGGTGCCCAGGAGGCCGTTGTGGCCAGAACATCGGAGCGCGGCCGGCCTAAAGACGAGAACGCAGCTGTAAAAAGTGTGCCCCGCGTGGGCGCCATGGCAGCAGGCTTGCTTGCTACGCACAGAAGACGCTTAAGACATCGGAGCGTGGCCGGGTCAAAGCCAAGAGCGCAGCTGTAAAAGGTGTGTCCCGCGTGGGCGCCATGGGCAAGAGCAGTCGCCAGTGAGCCCCAGGCGCGGCTGCGGGGCCACGCGGGGCTCCAAGCACCAGAATGTGGCCGCCGTGCAGGCGATAGTACAACTCTTACAAAACAATCCAGAGTGGTGGATGCGGGGCCCGGAGGATGGGGGTCCTGAAGTCTTCACCGCATTCGCACCCCAGGAGCCTTCCACGGGCCTCTGGACCTTGAACAAAAATACCCAGGAACTGGAACTTGGGAAATCTCTGGGGTCTACGAATGGAGGAGCAACAAGCGGCATGAGCATGATTTCTCGGAGGTCCGCACGGATCTCTTGGACCTGTGCTGGACCCTCTTCCCTGAAGCGCGGAGCGCGCCCTAAGGGCGGCGCCACATGTGCCAGGAGGGAGGCCCGGCGCCGATCCAAGAGGTCCGCGCGGACCGCCGAGAAGTTATGGTCATGCGGTCTGCTGCTCCTCGAGTGGGAGCCGTGCAGCTCGCGAGTGGGAGCGAGCGAGGGCGCGTGGTCAAGGTCTGGCCACACTGCCAAAGACATGCTGGCTCATGCTCTGCTCTCTGCTCACGCACCTGCTGGTGCAAGGCTCACCTGACTGTCCCTCCACGGAGCTGGGGAAAGCCCATGGGTCTATGACCCGTTTCCATCGGGACATCTCGACTCCAACTTGAGGCCTCATTGATGAGGTCGGACTAGATGGGGTCGGAAGGTCGCGCCACATCTCACTTCCCCCCTCTCCCTCCCCCCCCTGGGCTCGCCGCCGACCGTTGCTGAGCCGAACACAGACATGATCGCGTCGTGAAAAAATAGACAGGCCTCCCAAAGGGGGTCCGAGTAGATGGGAGCGCAGGATCGCGCCGCAACGCCGATGCACTGGCAATGCATCGGCGATGCATCGGCGACGTCGGCGATCCTTCATCGGCGACGTCGGCGTGGAGAAGATCGGGGTCCACATCGGCCGCATCGCCGATGCATCGGCGATGCGGCGCGATCCTCCGACCCCATCTGCTCCGACCCCACAGATTCCCGACGTCGTGTTTTCTCGGTTCCACGCAGGAGTGACCCTGGGTAAGAGTGACCTCTGGTGCGCGGCTTTTCGGGAGCCGCGGGGGGACCAAACCTGGGCGCGCAAGCCGCTGCGCATGCTTCGTTCTCAGCCATCGGGGGACCCATCTGTGCCCGCACCCAAAGGCCACTCCGGCGAAAGGTCACTCTTACGTCTAGTCGATTTTCTTACAGCGTCGACCCCCAGAAGCCCGGACTCCCTTCCCCCCGGGGCCGGTCTCTCGTCCTGCCCATAGAAGCCGAAGAGATGGCGAAAAAAACCTCCCGTCGAGGTTGCTTCGCAGCGCGAGGGGAAAGCATGCTGCGCATGTACAGTCGAGGTGTTGACCTAAGGAACCCTAAATAAGGAACGAGGCCCCTATTTTCCATAAGTTGAACTTCGATTTCGTACCGAAAACCTAAGGAACATCCAAGGCAAGCTGCGAAACACTTAAGGAGCACGGAGCCCCTCCCCAACGAAAAGGGTACCTTCTTCAGGGCCCCGACTGTCATGAAATCGAGGGTGCAAGAACTCGAAGTGGACCCGTGAGTGGATCGGCCTAAAACGTCAATGGTGAGGCTATATGATGCCTCGGCTGAAATTTTGACCCGGCTATGATGCCCGCTCGTGCCCACCCCGTCCCGTCGCCAAGGCCCATATGGGAGGCCCTACTCTCTACAAAAAACCATGCCTCTTGCCTGGGCGGCGGCGCCAGCCGGCTGGCCGACCACGCTCCGAGGCGCGCCCTATCTGCGCTGCCGAGGGCCACTCGGAGGTCGCGGGTGTGGCCGACGCCACAGCGGCGCGGGAAGATGGGCTCTTTCGGCTGCGAGCGAAGTGGGGAAGTGAGAAAGAGAAGGCCTTCTCAGAAGGCGGCGGGGCTTCAGAAGGCCTCTGGCCTTCTGAAAGGTTTCCTGTGTATTCGGGGAAGGCTTAGAAAACTTCGCAGAAGGCTGAGGGACATTCGAGCCTTCTGAGGAGGCCCGCCCCTTCTCACTTCCTCCCTGGGCTCGCCGCCGACCGTTGCCGAGCCCAACTAAAACATGATCGCGTCGTGAAAAATATGAATGCATCCCAAAGGGGTTCCGAGTAGATGGGAGCGCAAGATCGCGCCGCACCGCCGATGCATCGGCGATGCATCGGCGATGCATCGGCGATCCTTCATCGGCGACGTCGGGCTGGAGAAGATCGGGGTCCACATCGGCCGCATCGCCGATGCATCGGCGATGCGGCGCGATCCTCCGACCCCATGTGGGAGGCCTAGAAAAATCTCGACGGAAATGTCTCAGCCACCATGGGCCCCCAGGGGGCCTCGCCAGGCCTCGAATCCGTGAAAAGACTACTCGGAATGAAAACTGGCCCTGGGGAAAGCGTCGAGAATTTCAGGGGCCGCGTATTGAGGAAATCAAGACGTCGCCTGTCTTGACAGGCAGTGGCCAGTGGACTCAGCAAGCCGCTTGCGAGGAGCACAGGTGATTGAGCTTCGAAGCCGCGGTGCAGCATGACAAATATTACACCTCATGGGCCATGAACCTTCCCGAACATGATTTCTAAATCTCCGATGTGCCTGGCACCACATGAGGGTTGCATCTCCGGAGACACAGATACCCCCTGGACGAAGTCTGCCGACCGCTGGTCGCCATCGGGCATGCGGGCTGCAAGCTGGAAGCAAACTTGCGTGGAACTCCCGCGTGAAACCCGTTCCCCGAAAGTCATGGCTGCGAGGAAAAAGCACGGCCTTGCGCACGTTCGCACGGCGGCGCACGAGGGTTACATAATAAGGCCATGAGCTCTAGGTATTCAGTCTGGTCGGTTTCTACGAGGGTTGTACCTCTGGATCAGCTGACGCCTCTCCTGAAAGTCGCTTGGCGGCGGGCACACGAGGGCCGAAAACTACCAAAAAAATCGCATGCCCAACGGGCCAGAGGCGTGCTAAGATCTCCGGTAACAGGTTAGCAAGATTTGTGGTTCGCGGGCGCGTGGCGGCCCCTGGGGACCCCTGGACGAACAGTACCCTGATCGATGCCCGGCCGACTTCCCCAGGCCGCTCCACGAGCGCACCAAGAGGGCGCTGGGACGCGGGGACGCCCCCTACACGGCCCAAGAGGCCCCGAGTCGCCGAAGGATCGTTTCAAGACGGCAAGAAGCCTCCAGATGGCATCAGAATTCGCGAAAAAGCCCCAAGAGAGCCTCAAGAGGCTCTCCAAGAGGCCCCAACAAGCCAAAGTCGTCCCATACCTATTGGAAAACATACATGTTTCGCATGTGCGACGTTTCTTGCCTGTTCGGCTTTCCAACGCTATAAGACGGCCCAGGAGGTCCCCAAGACCGCCCCAAGACGGCCCAAGAAGCCTCCAAGAGGGCCACAAGACGGCCCAACATGGCCCCAAGACAGCCCAAGAGGCGCCCAAGATGGCCCCAGGCCCCAAAACGACCCCAAGCGGGCCCAAGAAGGGGACCAGGGACCGAAAAGTCCAGCCTTCAGCCCCGACAGGCCCCCAGGAGCCCCCAAGAGGCTCCCAAGAGACACACCAAGAAGCCCCTTGCAAAGTCCAGTCGGAGGATTCACGTCTTCGAAGAGCTGTATCAAAGCGACCGCGCTGCGCACAACAATGGGGCGGCGGTGTCTGGCCGCTTTCATAGAACAGTCGAAAACTGTGAGGGGAACGAAAACATCAGCACGTCGGGCCCGTGATGCACAAGCTTCCTGTCGCAACTCATGGGGGCCTCCCATGCCGTCTTGCTGGCCCCCCCGCTCGTCGACGCAGAACAGCGCCAGCCGACGCTCATCGACGCTGAATCGACGCTAGGCGACGCTGCACCGGCACTGTCTCGTCGATTATCAGACGCTAGCGCACGCTCATGCACTCTACAGTGCGGGCGCGGCCGCAAGAAGCCCTCGCAAGAAACCCAACCCTGAGAACCCGTGCGCGAGGTGCACCTGAAGGCAAAACATAGAGCACCCTGACCGCAGCAGCTCCTTCAACGGCTGCGGGAAGTCACCGCGCAGAAACCCGGGATATCCTGACGAAAAGCATATGGTTTCTTGATGCGCGCCCCCACTGTAGCGCACGCTCATGCACTCTAGATGGATCTGCGAGGACGTTACGAGGCCCGCATGACAGTTGAAACCAAGCAGGCCGACGGCCGCGCGTGGGAGGAGGCGGGCGGTCGCGCCATCTTCAGCGCGCCGATCTTGTCGCTCTGCATCACGAGCATGTGGAAGAGGGCGATGACGGCACCTTGGCTGCCCGCGGCACGCTCCCGGCTCCATCCCCGACTCGTTCACGCCCCTCATCCTCCTTCTTTCCTCCTCCTCCTCCTCCTCCTCCTCCTCCTCCTCCTCCTCCGAACCATCATCATCAGCATCATCCTCATCATCATCATCATCATCATCATCATCATCATCATCATCATCATCATCATCATCATCCTCATCATCATCATCATCATCATCATCATCATCATCATCATTCATCATCAACCTCATCTCATCATCATCATCATCATCATCATTCATCAGCAGCAGCATCATCATCATCAATCATCATCATCTATCATCATCATCAATCATATCATCATCATCATCATCATCATCATCATCATCATCATCATCATCATCATTCATCATCTCATCATTCATCATCATCATCATCATCATCATCATCATCATCATCATCATCATCATATCATCATCATCATCCTCATCATCATCATCACATCAAGCATCATAATCATCATCATCATCATATCAGATCATCATCATCATCATAATCATCATCATCGCATCATCATCATTCATCATCAGCATCATCTCATCATCATCATCATCATTATTCACAGCATCAGCATCATCATCAGAGCATCATCATATTATTATCATAACACAATCATCATCAGCATCAGACATCAGCATCAGCATCACATCAGCAGCATCAGCAGCATCATCATCATTATCATCATCATCATCATCATCATCATCAGCATCATCATCATCTTCATCATAATCATCATCAGCATCATCATCATCATCATCATCATCTGCATCAGCAGCATCATCATCAGCATCATCATTATTATCATAATCACAATCATCATCATCATCAGCATCAGCATCAGCATCATCATCAGCATCATCAGCAGCATCATTATCATCATCATCAGCATCATCATCATCTTCATCATCATCATCATCATCAGCATCATCATCATCATCTGCATCAGCAGCATCATCATCAGCATCATCATTATTATCATAATCACAATCATCATCATCAGCATCAGCATCAGCATCATCATCAGCATCATCAGCAGCATCATCATTATCATCATCATCATCATCAGCATCATCATCATCATCACCATCATCATCATAATCATCAGCATCAGCATCATCAGCATCAACATCGTCATCATCAGCATTATCCTCACAATCACATCGTTTATCAGCATCATCCATGTTATCCTCATCATTCTCATCATCCTCGTCAGCATCCTCCTCCTACCCCTCCTCCTCGTCCTCCTCTTCCTCCTCCTCATCATCATCAGCATCATGAGAAGCATCGTCATCCCCATCGTCGTCATCATCCGCAGCATCATGATCATCGTCATCGTCATCGCCATCGTCATCTTCTTTGTCATCATCATCATCATCATCAGCAGCATCACCATCAGCATCATCATCATCATCATCATGATCCTCATCATCAGCATCATCATCGTCATAGTCATCGTCATCGTCATTGTCGTCATCATCATCATCATCATCGTCATCACCATCATCTGCAACATCATCAGTATCGTCATCAGTACCATCATAATCAGCATTATCATCATAATCGGCAGCAGCATGATCGTTATCATCATCGTCCTCAGCATCATCCTCATCCGCATCCACAGCATCATCATCAACATCATCATGATCATCATAATCATGGAAATCACCATCATCAGCATCAACATCCTCATCTTCAAGCTTATCATCAACCTCGACCTCGTGCTCATCCTCCTTCTTCGCCTCCTCCTCATCATCAGCATCAGCTTCAGCATCAGCATCAGCATATCATCAGCAGCAGCATCATCACCATCACCATCACCATCACCATCATCACTCACCATCATCATCATCAAAACCATCATCATAATCATCATCATCATCAGCAGCAACAGCAGCAGCATCATCATGAGCATCAGCATCAGCATCAGCATCAGCAGCAGCAGCATCATCATCATCATCATCATCATCATCATCATCATCATTATCAGCATGATCATCAGCAGCATCATTGTCAGCATCATCATCAGCATAATCATCATCAATTCCTCCTCCGCCTCCCTCCTCCTCCTCCTCCTCCTCCTCCTCCTCATCCTCCTCCTACCTCCTCCTCCTCCTACCTCCTTTCTCCTCCTCCCTCCTCCCCCTCATCCGCCTCTCCCTCCTCCCCCCCTTCCCCCTTCTCCTCCTCCTCCTCCTCCTCCTCCTCTTCCTCCGCCTCCCCCTCCGTTCCTTGTCCTTATAAATAACTCTTCCCGGTCGCACCCCGAGACTTGTCGGTAGGGCGGACCAGGCGTTTCGCCTGAGACTTCCTCACTGGTTATGATCCTGGAACTTGAACTCTGAAAGTGCTTCACGGATGGAGGGCGGGCCGCTTTCGAAATGTGGCTCTCGCCGAGGCGCCGCGCACATGTTTTGTACAAGTTTGCAGGAGCATCACGAGTGAAGGGCGGCTCCTGTTCAGAATGTGGCTCTCGCCTTCGCGCCGAGAACATTCGTTTCAAAAGTTCGGAAGAGCCTTACGGGTGGAGAGCGACATCGCCCGGTGCGCACAAACACTGCAACGCTGGCATCGCTCGGATGTCCGTACCCCGTGCAGTGTTCCGTGTTTCGCGCGCGCGTGTGCTTCGCAAGACGGCCCAAACTGCTCCTCGATGCCGCTCGCCGAGAAAAAATGCACACGTCCGAGCGGTGCCAAGACTCCGTAAGGCCTGGACTCCGCGCGCGCGCGTGCGCCGTCCCCGCCCCCGCTGGCCCCGGGGGTGCTCAGGGTGCCCCTGGCCCAAGGCTTGCCGTCGCTGTGACGCCCATTCCCCGTGCTTTCGTCGGTGTCGCGCGTGCTACTCCACACGATGGCCCAAGATGCTCCTCGATGGCCCTCGCCGAGGACAAGGCGCACACGTCCGAGCGACGCCGAGGAGGTGCCCCCCAGCTCCTCGCCCCATTCTGGGGCTCCTGGGGGCGGCCCCCGGGGCCACGTCAGGGGTGCGCGGGAGGCCGCGGGGGCATCCTTGGCCCTGCCGGGGGCGCTTTGGGCCAGGGGCACCTCATAGCAACACCCGCCACGGCTAAGTCGGGCCTCTCCTCCTAGAGAGGAATTTTGGACGATAAATAAAAAATTGTCAAACAATACCCCAAAATGGTCGAAAATACTAAAAGATCGTCCCCATCTTATCTTTTCGCTATTTTTGAATATTCGTCCTGTAGAGGGACAGGCCCGACTGGACGCCACGGCCCCTCCGAGGGCTGCTCCTTCGGGAGGGGCGAGCCGCGCCACGCAACGCCCCCTCTGGCCATCGCTCGGACGTCCATTCCCTGTACTTTTTTCGATTTCGTGCGTGGCTTTTCGCCAAATGATCAAGGATGCGCCTCGATGGTCCTCGCCGAAGGAAAAGTGCACACGTCCGAAGCGATGCCAACCTCCCCCCCCCCAACGCCAGGAAAGCGGCCCAGCGAGCACGACGCGCCGACGTCGCCGCCGACGACGACGCGCCGACGACGCCGACGACGCCGACGACGACGACGACGCCGACGACGCCCGACGACGACGACGACGACGACGCCGACGCCGACGCCGACGCCGACGCCGACGCCGACGACGACGACGACGACGACGACGACGCCGACGACGACGCGACGACGAAGACGACGACGACGCCGACGACGACGACGCGCCGACGGAGCGCCGGCCGCGGGCGGCGCCCTCGAACTGCGTGCCCGCGCCCGTGTTCATGGTGGTGGGGCTGAACGCCTGGCCGCCAGCGGGCCGGCGCCCGGGGGTCGCCCGACGAGGGGAGCGAGAAAGGGAGGAGGAGGAGGAGGAGGAGGAGGAGGAGGAGGAGGAGGGGAAGGAGGGGGGGAGGAGGAGGAGGAGGAGGAGGAGGAGGAGGAGGAGGAGGAGGAGGAGGAGGAGGAGGAGGAGGAGGAGGAGGAGGAGGAGGAGCGAGGAGGAGCGAGAGGAGCGAGGAGGAGGAGCGAGGAGGAGGAGGAGGAGGAGGGGAGGAGGACGACGCGCGGAGGCGGAGGAGGAGGCGGAGGAGAGGAGGAGGGGGAGAGATTGTGGGGGGGGTCACCGCGGAGGGGAAGGCATCGAGCCTTCTCACGCCGCAGATACAATCGGCCTTGCTCGGACAGGACACGCGAGACGACACGAGACCCTTCCGAGGGCCACATTGCCAGGGCGGATGTGGGAGGCATGGGTCGCGAGGCACAGGACACGAGGGTACCTAAGGGTGCCCTTGATTTGGCAGGGTCGACCTGGAGGAGTGAGGAGGAGGAGGAGGAGGAGGAGGAGGAGGAGGAGGAGGAGGAGGAGGAGGAGGAGGAGGAGGAGGAGGGGGGGAGGAGGAGGGGGGAGGAGGAGGAGGAGGAGGAGGAGAGGAGGAGGATGAGAGGAGAGGGGGAGGAGGAGGGGGAGGGGGGGAGGAGGAGGAGGAGGAGGAGGGGGAGGAGGAGGAGGGGGAGGAGGAGGAGGAGGAGGAGGAGGAGGAGCTAATGGGGACCGGCTTTAGATCGGCGCTGGGCCCCCCGAAGGCGGGGCCGCACGCCCCTGGGCGAGGTGGCGATGCCCAGACCCCCCGATCGGCGATGGGCGGGCCAGTGGGGTCGATGCCTCCCCCCCCGAGCCAGTCCCCCCCCCCCCGGCGTTGCCCCCGAGAGAGGGCCCGCCCCGGGTTCGAGGATGGGGGGTCGAGGCGGGAGGATCGAGGCGGGAGGATCGAGGCTGGAGGATCGAGGGCCTCCGAAGACATCGAGGATCGAGGATCGGGGCTGGAGGATCCAGGAGAGCCTCGGGAGACGGAGGGACACGAGGGCTGCCGTCTGTCTCCGCGAACAGCGAGCGAGGAGCGACGAACGGCGGAACGACGAACGACAAAGCTCGACCGACGAAGAACAGCGACGGCGACGGCGGACGGCGACGGCGACGGCGGACGGCGACTACGGCGGCGGCGGCGGCGGCGACGGCAACGACGATGACGACGGCGACGAAGACGGATGAACGGAACACGGCGGCGAACGACGAATGACGACGCAGACATGCGAAGGACGAAGGACGAAGGGCGAACACTAAACGACGAGAACGACAAAGACAAGCGAAGAATGAAGAACGAACGACCGACGACGACGACGACCGACGACGACGACGACGACGACGACGACGACGACGACGACCGACGACGACGATCGGCGTCGAGCGCCCCGCGACGGCGACGAACAACGGCGGCGCTCCGACCCGGGAGCCCCCGAAGCCCGCCGCGGGCCGGGCCCGCTGCTGGCCGCCCGCGGCCCGAAGGCCCCCCGGGGCGGCCGACTCCGCTGGGGGCGCGGAGGCCCCGTCGCGATCGCCGGCGCAAGCGGCGCGGGCGGAGGCGGGGCGCCCGGGCCCCGATCGGCGAGGAGTGGGCGATCGGGGGGTCGGCGTTGCCCCCCCCCCTCCCCCCGAGCCAATCTTAGGTCGGGCATGTCCGCCTACAGGGGGATTTGGGACGAAGAGTAAAAAAGAATATACCCCAAAAGGCTCAAACAATGATCATAAATACTCAGAAAATCGTTCCCGGAAAATCGATGAGGGGTCGGCGTTCCCCCCCGAGCCAATCAGGGGGATCCTGGAGGAAATATATATATATGTATATATACACCTATATACATACATACATACATACATACATACATACATACATACATACATACATACAATATATATACATCATATATATATATATATATATATATATAGCTCTCCCCCCCCCCCCCCCCCCCCCCCCCCCTCCCCCCCCCCCCCCCAGCGACCCCCCAAAACGCCCAAAACACGAAGCCGCGGTCTTGAGATGCTGGCACCGAACAGCCGCAGACACATGGTCTGTCACAGCGGGCTGTGACCCGAGAAGTATTCCTCCTCATCTTACTCTCCCTCATCCTCCCCCTCCTCTTCCATCTCCCCCCTCGCCTCCTGCTTCTCCTGTTACTCGTCCTCCTCCTCCCTCCTCCCTCGTCCTCCACCTTCTGTTCTTCCACCTGGTCCTCTCCCTGTTGGAGAACTCAACTTTGGCCTGCCATCCAGGCTGACGAACTCATCCGCTCGGCCCATCCGTCACGGGCACCGTGCGCGCAAGCATATCGGTTTCGGCCGAGGCCACGAAACACTGTGTATCACAGGTTTTTCTGGTTTTTCTGGTCTGGGAACCAACGAAACACTGCGTATCACAGGTTTTTCTGGTTTTTCTGGTTTCTGGAGCTGAAATGCTCGCCGCGGCCTCGCCCCACCGCTCCCCCACCTCCTGTTTGTCGGCACCTGAAAACCAGAAAAACCAGAAAACCTGTGATATACAATGTTTCGTTGGTTCCCAGACCAGAAAAACCAGAAAAACCTGTGATACACAGTGTTTCGTGGCCTCCGAGCAAGAAAACACTGTGTACTCTTCGGGGACTACAGCGCTCGCCGCTCACTGGCAGTGCTCCTTGAGGAAGGCCTCCTCCAGCATCTTCCCTGTTGCCAGCCACAAATCCTCGCCCCTGTGCCAGTACAACCACTGGTAGGAGCCAGAACCAGAACCAGAACCAAAGCCAGAACCAGAACCAGAACCAGAGCCAGAACCAGAGCCAGAACCAGAACCAGAACCAGAGCCAGAACCAGAACCAGAACCAGAGCCAGAACCAGAGCCAGAACCAGAACCAGAACCAGAACCAGAGCCTTGCTCGGAGGCCACGAAACACTGTGTATCACAGGTTTTTCTGGTTTTTCTGGTCTGGGAACCAACGAAACATTGTATATCACAGGTTTTTCTTGTTTTTGGGTTTTCAGTGCCGACAAACAGGGTGGGGGAGCGGTGGGGCGGCCGGGCGAGCATTTCAAGCCAAAAACCGAAAACACCTGGACAGTGTTTCGTTGGTTCCCAGACCAGAAAACCAGAAAAACCTGTGATACACAGTGTTTCGTGGCCTCGGCCGAAACCGATATGCTTGCGCGCACGGTGCCCGTGACGGATGGGCCGAGCGGATGAGTTCGTCAGCCTGGATGGCAGGCCAAAGTTGTGTTGTGTTTTCGTGCTTTGGGCGCTCTGGGGGGTCGCTGGGGGGATCGACCATATATATATATATATATATATATATATATATATACATATATATATATATATATATATATCTATAATATTAATATATATAATATATATATATATATATATATATATATGTAAAGAAAAGGCCCACACGATGGTCAGAAGTGCTCCTGGAAAAGACGTCCCAAGACTGTTGTTTGCCTATTGTTGAAGATCCCTCCTGTGGAGGGGCAGGCCCGAGAACTCAAAAAAATACCCCCCAAACAAGGCTCAAACAATGATCAAAAGTATTCAGAAAATCGTCCCCCTACTATTTTTTGCCTATTTTGGGGATATCCCTCCTGTAGAGGGGCAGGCCCGACTGAAAGCCAATCCCCCCCCCCCTCCCGTCGGCGCACCAGCTCTGCGAGCAACGCGAGGCGACCCCAGGCCGCACAGCAGAGTGCGTGTCCGACGTCTCAGAGTCTCGCCAGCAGGTCCCTCGGGCTCCCCTGAAGCCCGCCGTATCCAGGATTCTCGAGTGCTACGTTACAAGGCCCAGAGCCTCAACTCCTACGTAAATCTCCTGGGGCCGGTCGCGTGACTGCTGGGGCACCCCGATTCCCCATGGAAACGGGGCCCGTCGCTACTCCACACCCCCTTGATCCATGTTCGCGATCGCTTGAAATACTATCTCCGCGCTTCCCGCTGCGCTGCGCGCGCTCATCGTCTTCGCGCGCCCTCGCGCTTCCTCCCCCCCCCTTCGGGGGCGGCCAAGAGGGGGGCGTCCAAGAAGGGGGGGTGCAAATCATGGCCGGCGGCATGTGCGCGGCCAAACGGGGGGGGCCAGGGACGTACTGAAATAAGAAACCATGACATCTGGGGGGATATATCATGGCCCACGTCATGATATCCATCCCCCCTAGTCTGAAGTCGGGCGTGTCCCCCTACAGGGGGTTTTCGACGAAAAGAGAAACATACCCCAAAAATAGACAAAAAAAAAATCAACACATAATCTGGGGACTATTGTTTGAATAGTTTTGACTTTTTTGGAGCATTTTGGGGGTATTGTTTAATTTTTCGCAGAAAATCCCACTGTAGGGGGACAGGCCCGACTTAACCCTAGGCACGGGACCCCCGGGACCGTGACGGGAGCGACTCGGGACGAGACGCCAGTCCTGGGAGGGAGGTCGAGCCCCTAAAGGTCCACGCTGCAAAGGGATCACGACGTCGGAGGGAAGGGGAGGCGGAGGGAAGGGGATGGGGAAGAGGAGCTGGAGGAGGGAGGAGGAGGAGGAGGAGGAGGAGGAGGAGGAGGGGGGAAGGAGAGGAGGAGGAGGAGGGGGGGAGGAGGAGGAGGAGGAGGAGGAGGAGGAGGAGGAGGAGGAGGAGGAGGAGGAGGAGGAGGCGTCTACAGCCGCTCCCTGGCCCTCCTTGCCCCTCCCCCCCCATGGAGAAGAGCCGCTCCCTCGCCCCGCGCGGCGCGCGGCGCGAGGCGCGCGGCGCGGGGCCTCCGCGCCCTGGCGGGGCGAGGCGGAAGGGCTTCGCCCCGAGCACGCTCAGAGTGTCGGGGGCCCGCTGGCCCTGGTGGGCCAATGTTACGTCGGGCGTGTCCCCCTACAGGGGGATCTTCAACGAAGAATAAAACATACCCCTAAAAATACCCTCCAAAAGGTCAAAACGTACTCCAAAAATAATCCCCAGGCTATGTTTG